TGAGTAGTATGTGGGATTAGATGTGAAAAATTATCTTGTTTATGATTGGAATATATATATTGTTGTATGATGAAGATCAATGATTTAGAGATGAGTAATGATGCCCTAATGTTATATAAGTGATTTAGAAACATAAGATCATTATAATTGATGATTACCTATGATTAGAGGATGTTTTAGGGCCTAAGGAAGGGAAACCATAGTGAAAACACAGTGAAATCACAGAAAATATTCATGACAGAACAGTATGCATCGACCGTAAAAGCCATGCGTCGATACATGCAGGTTTTTGGACTCAGGATGAGTTGATACAAAGGAGCATGCGTCGATACATGCAGTATCGCAGACTCAGTATGAGTCGATATGAAGGGATTACATGTCGACTCATGCAGGATTTTATCCCAGTACGCATCGACTCAAAACATTGTGCATCGACTCATGTAGTCTGATTTTTGACAGATTCTTCCAAAGGATGTAACTTGAGTTTCCGGACTCCATTTGAGGTGTCGTTCGAAGCGTTGGATAGCTAACGCAATGAACTACATTCTTAAGGATTAAAATAAATAATAAGAATAATAATCCTAGTACCCAAATTAAGATTAGAGTTAGTTTCCCGCGTTAATCACTATGATGATTTTGTGAAATATGATGAGGATGAGATGATTATAGATTATTGCTTGGTTCATAACAGTAAGAATAATGATGATAATGATGTAGTATTAAGGAATAATAATGTGTAGAGGTTTTTTAACTAGAGGTAAGCCTTAGATGATTAATTAATTATATGTAATATCATGTTGTAGGCCTATGGCCAATATTGAGGGATTGTCGATCTATCGTTGTATTGTTGTTGTAGCTGAGTTGTTGTAAAGTTATGTTGATGAGTTACGTTGATGAGTTATGTTTATGAATTATGTTGATGAATTATGTTGATGAATTATGTTGATGAATTATGTTGATGAATTATGTTGATGAATTGTGTTGATGAATCATATTGATGAATGATGTTGATGAATGATGTTGAGATGCCTTTAATAATTGGCAGCTATTAAGATGTAGGCTTCTGGATAACGATGATGTTGTGTTGAGATGTTGTTAATTATGGTTGTTGTTATTACATTCATGATTGTGTTGCATACATTGCATTTCAAGATGGAGCTGATGCTCGTTAAGATGGCATGTATTGGCGAATATTAAGATGAAGGCTTATGCCTTGTTGATGCCTCTATTTATTGGAAATTATTTGAGATGAGAGTTCTGCTCCGATGGTACCACAAGCATGTGCATTGTGATTGAGTCGCATTTGATGTTGCATCTTGAGTTGTGGTGAAGATAGATTCGTTGTTGCTTTATGTTGTTGACTTGTTGTGACAAGTATTATCTAAAAGCTGTGAATTTAGTAGTTATGTCGTGTTGATGTTTTATTGTGATTAAAGTTGTTTATAAGTTTTGAAGTGGTGATTTTATATGATCTGATTTAATATATTATTTATCATACGTTTTATTATATTGTTAGATATCTCACCTCTTCTGTTTGAATGTTTCCCTCTGTTGGTAACGTGCAGGTAATCAAGAAGGATAGTTGTTACCTCGTTAGTTCGAGTCGGTGTTGTCGCTCTGATACGTAGTACTCGGGGGGATGAACGCTTGATGTTTAGTTGTTGTTTATTATTTCAGTTGCTGAATTTTTATGTTGATTACATGAAATAATTGTTGTCTTGAGGTTGTTTTAGTTGAATAAGAGATGTTAAGTGAATTGAAGTTGAATATGTATATTCCGCTGCTTATCAATGAAAAGTTGTTAATTTTAAAGAATAAATCAGATTGTTATCGGTTCATCCGAGTTAAGTGTTATCTATCTGTTTGTATGCGATTAAATGAAGATTGATTTTTAGTTGAAAATGTAGCATCCTATTTATGTTGAACTCTGATTTTCTTATTATCCGCCAGGTAGAAATGGGGTGTTACAGTATCCCTTTCTTATTTCAATTGAATTTAAAAATTTTGTAGCTCTTCAAGGTCAGTAGGCATATCTAGATGAAAAATGGTATGAGGAACATCTCCTTCAACAACAGGCTCCACAATTACTGGTAGGACAACAAGATATGGCATTATAAGATTTTGAACACGAGATCGCACACATCTGAGGTAGGGCTCCAAAGTAATGGAGTTCTTATGTCCCAAAGTCTTGCTATCAATCTTGTTCACCATGCCCTAAGCACGTATAAACCTTTGACGGTAACCTTGAGGATCATTCTCGTAATCGAATATAATACCCTGGATAAGCATATCATGTGGACCCTCTCTTCGAGCATAACCAAATTGACATAGAGTTAGAGAAGGGTTATAAGTAATACCTCTCATTATGCCAAGGAGTGGCACATTATGGAATTCCCCACAGCGGTCAATAATAGTGATGTCCGCCTGAGATTGGGAACACCAATAGATATCTGAATGAGAGAGTGACATTATCCTTCAAGACCACTCCAAACCTTGTCCATTCTTCATCATTGATCGGGGAAGGTGAGAAATAAATCACTTGGATAGTAAAGGTATGCTACACATGATAGTCCCTCGCTACCTCATAGTACGAGTGTGAAGAGAGGGCAAAATATCTCCAAGCAAAGTAGGCAAATGATTATGAGTAAGAAATATTTTGATGACGTTCACATCTATGAGTTGGTATGGATTAGGGAATAGTATCAAACCATAGATCAACCAAGTTAATATCTCCTCAAAAGCATGAAAACTCATAGCATCTAGAAACAACTGAGATTTCTCTTTCAGAAATCTAGCAAGAAGACCTTTAACTCCATTTCTTGTTTCCCGATTAGATACAATTTATGATCGCTTCAGATATAAGGTTGCTACAATAACTTCAGGTTTTGGAACTTTCTCTAAACCGGTGAGGGGTGTCTGATCAAGAATAGGTACTTCACGTAGCTTAGAAAACTCTTCCATTGCGGGCACCAATTGATAATCTGATAAGGTAAAAAAATGATGCTAAAGATCAAAGAACTGGAACAGAACACTCATCGTGTCTTCTTCAAAACCTGAGGTAACCAAATTGAGTAGATAACCATGACTTTTTGTGAATTGAGAGTTTTCGGGAATCTTTGAGACTAACTCCTTAAGCTTGGAAGGTACCCTTACAAAGTTCATTTGAATAGTGTTAATGCGAGCGGAGACCATAACCTTCAACAAAAAACAAAGATAAATCCCTAGGTCCTTGAAATGGTTAGTGAAAAGTTTTATGTTATGATGATATGATGTCATGATGTTATGTTCATGTTAAATAAGTAGCAAACACAAACAAGTCACACAAGATCCTTAGGTTTAAAGGAATGAATGAAGTTCATAGTTAAGTACCCTTCCCCACTGAAGTTAAGTTGGCTCAACCTATCCTAAAATAGTAACTGGGTTCTAAGAATCTCATATCACAAATCTTTCTCGAAGGCTTTATTTTAGCACGGCAACTGACTTGCCAGCAAAACTTCCCGAAAGTCGAATCTCAATAAGCGTAGCCTCGAGTATCAACCAACTTTGGACTCCAACAAAACCGGCTATCTTACTACTTTCTAATGGCCAAGATGGATCAATTAAGGTTCTAAAAGCAAGTTAGTGCCAATGACACCATGCGGAAGCCTAATGTTATCCTTGACTGACTCAAGGAACATCAATACAAACCAAAGTATCACACTAACTGTAGCTATCATGTTAACCATATTGGTATACGACGTACAATCTTTTTGATCTATTGCTACTTACCTAAGGAATCATTAGATCCGGGTGTAGGATCTTTCACACAAGTAATACCCAAATAAGCCTTTAAATTTAAAGCAAAAAATTCAAACAATTAAAACAAGTAAAAGTGATCTAAACTCTAAGGTAATCCCTTATTTTGAGTTTGTCCCCAACAGAGTCGCCAGTTCTATAATAAAGTGGGAGAACTGACTTTTTTAGTGTCATCGCAAATGTGCGGTTAGTAAGAGTCGCCACCGACTTTTCTTTTATCTAATATTTAGGAAAGGTGAAAAAAACAGAAAAAATCTTTGAAAGATTTTGAATTTTGAGAATAAATTATGTAAAGAGAAGGTGTTAGCATCTTTTACATCTAGGGATGTCAATGGGGCGGGGCGGGGCCGGGGGGACACTTCCCCATCTTTTTCCCCGCCATCAAATTCATTCCCCGTCCCCGTCCCCGATCTCCGTCACGGGGGAATTTCTATCCCCATCCCCGTTCCCCGCGGATCCCTGTTCTCCGCGGGGATCCCCATAGATCCTACATTTATTCATTAATATTTTATTTTTTTAAAATGTTTATATTTTCTATAAAAATAAAAAGCACAAAGAATTCACATATTTATTATGTTATTAAAAAATACTAGTATTTGACATTTATTATTTTTTATTAAAAATACTAATGGAACACAAAATAATAATATTTTTTTTATAAATTTCTATAAAATGCTATAAAATTCAACAAAATGAACTATAATACTTTTTAAAGTAACAATATGCCTAAACAACTAAAAAAACTAGACAAATAAATAAATAAATAAATAAATAAATAATAGGCGGGGCGGGGTCCCCGCAGGGCGGGGGGTGTATTCCCCGTCCCCGTCCCCGAAATGCTCTCGGGGGAATTTTTCTCCCCATCCCCGCCCCCACGGGGGAAAATTCCCCATCTTTGGGGCCTCGAACGGGGCGTTCCCCGCGGGGATCCCCATTAACAGGTCCAAACTGACATCCCTATTTACATCCGTAATTATCTATGAACTCTTAATTACTTAACTTAAAAAAATATAATAAATTTTATTTTAGTTGACTATAAACATCAAAGTTTACTTTCAACCCAAAAACTAATATTTATATAACACATAAAAAGCGTGTCACACCAAATTATTGATGTCATTTTATATGACAAGTAACAATGAAATCAAATATTTTAATTTTTAGTTATCAATGTGTTCACAAGGGAATCAAAAACCTTAATGTTGTTACTCAATGTATTTCTTGAAATAAAAAAAGAAAAGAAAAAACACCATAAAAAAATATCTGTAGATGATCTGAACCAATCTACATAAAAAAAACATCGGTGACCGACCACTTTCTCTTCCCTTTTGAAGCAAAACAAGACTTTCCATGTATCTAACAGCTCTTATTGAATCATGTTTTCCATAATCATGAACATCCATTGTATTTTGTTTCTCAGAATCATACAATACCAACCTTTCATCTGTACCTTTCCAAAGAAATTCATTGCTCCCATAAAATCCAACAAACTTTGAAATCATAGGCACAGGTCCAACACTGTATTGCTTAATCCAAGACTCTTCATCCCAATAATCCTTCATCATCCAAACATCAAAACATTTCTCTATTCCTCTTGCAGGATAAACCAAAACACCAATAGTATCAGATTCTTTCAAAGGTAGCAATGTTTTAAAACATTCAACTGAAGAATTAGAATACTCTATTGTAGGCACTTTTATCTTCCTAAACATTTCATCAACCATGTTAAAGGCTAAAACAACATCTTCTATTCTACCATCATACTTATCAACATAACCCCACCAATGACAACAATTGTTCATATAAGTATAAACCTGAGAAGAAGAACTCGAAATTTCAATTGGAAGAGGGATATCTTGAGCATCAAGCTTTCTCCATGAGTTGGAATTAAGACTGTATAGCTCAGCGTTCCAATACCCTTTTTGTCTTTCATCTGTTTTCCTCAACCAAAGGTCTTTTAAGAAAACAACTTTGTAGTCATTGGTTTTAGGATCAAATCCAAATCCAGCAAATTCAGTGAGAGAATAAGTTCCCTTTGAATCTGTTACATGGGATTCAGGCAAAGCCTTGAACTGTCTAAGAGAAAGGTTCATCATGAAATTTGGATATCCTGGTAGAAAGTAAATACCATTACATGGACCCATTATATCACTCCAATATTGGTGATCTGAGTTGTACTCATCAGGAAGGTTTAAAAGAGAAGAGGAAACATGTTGTTTAGGATAATTGAAATTCCAAGAAAAAAGAGAAATAAAAGTTTCGACACCGGAAATAAACGGTCTATGAATAACCAAGAGTTTCTCTTGATTTTGAGAGTAAATAAGATCGTTGTAAAAAAAGTAGTAACTGTTAATAAAATAAGGATCAGTTATGAGATTGAACCATGGTTTGCAAACAATCTTACATTTCAACAATTCTCTTGCTGGTAGCCTTGAGAGGATGTTGGATAATAATTCTTCCGGCAAATGGTTCATCTTTGTATCCATATTGCTTTTGGATCTTTCAACTCTCAACAATGCTACTATGGATTTGGAGTACATAACTTTCTTCAGCATGAATGTTAGAAGAAAGAAAAACAAGCAAAACACATACATGATTTTGGTGCTTGCAAATCATATAGTTTTCACATGTGGCTTTATAATCGTCAAGTTATAGTGCTTATTAATATTAACTAATAATTATACTTTTGCCGGCTTCAAAAAACATTAAAATAATACAAGCATGATTGACTTTAGTCATGTTATAGTCATATTATATGTATAGTTTAAAAATGAATTCCATGTGCCTAAAATAAAGTTAATTTGTATTCAATTTTGAGATAAGATCGCAAATTTAAAATGTATTCCTTCCTAGTAGACACTTTCGTTTTAGGAATTGAATCCTCTCCAATTTTTTCTCTTGTATCCTCTATCACGTGTGGTTTTGAGCTCTTGGATTAATCTAATAGTTAAGAGAGCAAAAAGAGGAGAAAAAAATAACATTTAAAAATAAAAGAGAAATATTTCTTTAACTTTTATCTTAACTGGATTGAAACATAATCTTAAAAATAGTTATATTTATAATAAAAGAAAATACTACAGGAATCAATTTTTTAACAAACAGTGGAATTGATAATAATAATAATAATAATAATAATAATAATAATAATAATAATAATAATAATAATAATAATAATAATAATAATAATAATAATAATAATAATAATAATAATAATAATAATAATAATAATAATAATAATAATAATAATAATAATAATAATAATAATAATAATAATAAACCATGAAATAAACACTCAAATATTATATAATTTTATAAATATAAATTTTATCATAAATAAAATGATATATAAATATAATTTAATTTCATAAAAATATATGAGTATAAACATAAGTACATCAAATTTAAGAAATGATGGTGGTTCATGTCTCAGTTTGTTATTTAAAAATTATTATAATATTTTATTTTTCCATTAAATAGTATTATATTATTATTATTATTTATTTCAAAAATATATTTAAAATTGAAAAATAAAAACTACAAAGAATACTACAAAGATTAAACAAAACAAAGACTAACATATTAAAAAAGTAATATATTTCTCTCTCATTCTATTTGTCATTTTTTTTGCTTATTAACTGTTGGATTAATCCAACAAATGATAACTACACATGAGCGATGGCATGATAGAAAAAAGTAGAGAGGATCAAATTCCTTCTTTTTCCGCGCAGCTGGCTACTTTTGCGAGAGAGATAACAAATCAAGTCCAAATAAAAGAAGATGGTGGGAGCTTGCAATCCAAAGTGAAAAAGGTGGGTCAGGGTCATGAGATCTTCTTTTTCGTTTGACTATGTTGAAGTATGTTTTAAAATCTTAAATGATGAATAAAAAGAAATACGTTTTGAGATTGTATAAACTAAAAATTAGTCATGAAATCAACGAAGTTTGTGCAGTAGGGTCGTCAGCGGGTCTGGTTGTCAGGGAACAACAGTTGAGCGAGCCAACAAGAGTTAGGTTAGTTTCGACAGGAGATCAAGGTATGTTGGGTATTCGATCTTGTCTAAACTATTTTCTTGTTTTTGTCTTGGTTGTTTAAGTTTGTGGATTAGTTCGTTAATGAGTGATGTTTTGAGTATGTTAAGTATCTGTTGAACTTCAGCAATTATAAAAATGTATCTTCATTATTCTTTTCATCACAATATTCCAAACTTTAAAAGTGAAGGCAGTGAGAAGGGTGTGAGAATTTTAGTTGTAATCTTAGAGAGTTAAGAGTAAATTCTGAAAAGTGTGTTCTTGGAATTTAAGAAATTATTGGAGATATCTAAGGGGGGTTGAGACTTCTTAACGCTTTAGACTTATGTAATTCATATATAAAGATTCAAAGAGATTAAGTAACATTTCGATTGAAATAGGATTTGTTCTCGGGAACTTGGGTGACTATTTTCTAGTAACTTGTATTATTCAAAAAAGCACAGGTGTGTGCGTGTTCCCCCTGCAAGGGCAGGGAGACTAAGAGGCCCTAGTAGCTATATTAAATGTTTGAGGGTGAGGGCTATACTACAGCAGCGAGTAGCCTTATATGGTGGTTTTTGATGTTTTTTAAGGGGCTAGTGATAAGTGTAAAAGTGTAGTTATTTTGTATAGACTTTTTGTTGCACTTATCGACTCTTGGTTGTTAATATCAGATGAATAACCTAACTTTGTGTATAAATACGTTTAGTTTGTGTATAATGCGTTGTCTTGTATAAAGTGTATCGTTTGATAGTTTTGTATTTATTTTGTAGGTATTTGAGCATTGTTGGAGCAATAGAAATAAAGCTCCAAGATGCATTTTTGGATCAATAAAGGAATAAGGCCAAGATTGGAAGTAATTGGAAGTTATGCAGAGAAAGCAACAGAAGTTATCTTCCTGTCATGGATCGTCGGGCGAAAGGAAGGCGTCGTCGGGCGAAATTTGAAGTCAAATTTCCTTGTTATTTCTCCCATGCGTCGCTGGGCGAAAGGGAGTGTCGCCGGGCAAAAATAAGAAGAGTCGTCGAGCGATGAATTATGGTCGCCGGGCTACAGTAGATATTTGTTTCAGTTGAGGAAGTGGCTTTTCCTGGGCCTTGTAAATAAGAGCTTTCGCCGGGCGGCACTTTTATATCGTCAGACGATGGTTGCGGATCAGATTTTCTTTATATTTCCTTTTTGCTTCATTTGGAGGGTTATGGTTTTTTTTTTGGGGGAGGGGGGTGATTTTTGTTCTCTCAACTCCATCAACCTCATTTTTGTAGTGGATTAGCTTAGATAACAACAATATGACTTTGCTTATGGATAATTGGTGGTGGATTTCTCATTGACCGACTCTGACAAACCGGAAGATTTGTGGTTTATCTCTTTTCATCTGTATGTATTTCTCTTTTGTTGGGTTTTGTATGTATTTACTCTGAACTTATGTATATTTGTCGCCCATGGCGATATATTAAACTTGCTTTACAATTCTGTGTCGATTATTGTCTTAGATTTTTGCTCTGTGCTAGGGATTTGAGTTGTTATAGACATATACTGCGTAGATCCTTATCTAGGATGATTACCTGTTAGTTTCTGAACTCTAGAGATAGATTTAGAGCTGACATTTACTAGGGTATCAGAGCTTAATGTCTCTGTGTGGTTGTGTTGTGCTGAGAGATCGTCAGTACGATTACATAGTTGTCTTCTGTGTTATTGAGGAGGTAGAGAGATCATTTCCTTGGTAATACAGTCGGTCTCTCGATTTGGATTAGAAATGACTTAGGTTGTGAGTGATATGTAGTAATATTGATGAGTATTGTTAGGTTAAATGTAACTAATCGATAGATTTAAGTCTGTGATGAGTAGATTATATACAGGCTTGATAAGTTCTTCCTTAGTTTTTACTTTTGGTTACATTTATTTTTTGTTGATACTTTTCTATACCATTTATCCCCAAACTCATTAATGAGAGATTTGACAAATGGAAATTCAATAACCAATCTCTATGGACACGATAAATTCCTGGATAAATATTTCCAAAACTTTTGTTGCTTGCCGTTACACCGCTTCCAACATACAGTCGGTCTCTCAATTTGGGTTAGAAATGACTTCGGTTGTGAGTGATATGTAGTGACATTGATGAGTATTGTTAGGTTGAATGTAATTAGTTGATAGATTTAATTATGTGATGAGTAGATTATATATAGGCTTGATAAGTTCTTCCTTAGTTTTTACTTTTGTTTATATTTATTTTCTGTTGATACTTTTCTATACCATTTATCCCCAAACTAATTAACGAGAGATTTGTCGAATAGCAATTCAATAACCAATCTACGTGGACACGATAAATTCTCGGATAAATATTTCCAAAACTTTTGTTGCTTGTCGCTACACCGCTTCCAAAATACAGTTGGTCTCTCGATTTGGGTTAGAAATGACTTAGGTTGTGAGTGATATGTAATGACATTGATGAGTATTGTTAGGTTGAATGTAACTGGTTGATAGATTTAATTTTGTGATAAGTAGATTATATGCAGGCTTGATAAATTCTTCCTTAGTTTTTACTTTTGTTTACATTTATTTTCTGTTGCTACTTTTCTATACCATTTATCCCCAAACTCATTAACGAGAGATTTATCAAATGGCAATTCAATAACCAATCTCTGTGGACACGTTAAATTACCGGATAAATATTTCAAAAACTTTTATTGCCTGTCTGATAGGGAGCTGGTGGATATGTTTCTCGGTACCCTATTTGGTCCATTCTTTAACCACCTGATTGTAAGCTCTTCTGCCGGTTTCACTGAATTAATTCTGACAGGGGAACGGGTGGAAGCTGGAATCAGGAGTGAGAAGATTCAGAAGGATGCGTCCTCCAGTGCCATAAGGAAGCCATTTTCTGGGAAGAAAGAGGTGGGTGTTGTGTACCGTCAAAGAAATCAGGACAAAATTGAGCGTCATCCAGCAGTAGGGGCTGTCATGATCTCTAAGTCTGAACCTACCCGACAAAGGAACAATCAACCGAGGACAGAAAGGCCGGTAAGACAGTTTACCCGGATAAACATGACTCTATTGCAAATCTTGCCACAACTATTGAAGACCAATCTGGTAACTTTGAAGGAATCCCCGAAGAATCCCAACACCGCCTCTCCTCACTACAACCCTAAGGTTCGTTGTGCTTACCACTCTGAAAGTCCAGGCCATGATACCAACGATTGTTGTGCTTTGAAGAACAAGGTGCATGATCTGATCGAGGAAAAGGATATTTAATTTGATCCCCCTGAGACTCCCAATGTCATAACTGCACCCATGCCCAAGCATGGCTCGGGAATCAATGCTATTGAGGTTGTCTCCGCCACGGAAGATGCTGATGATGGTGACGAGGACATGGACAGCTGGATCTCCCCAACCATCAGCGAGGGACTCAGTAATTAGAAGGCTAAAGATTTTGTTCCCATCTCTTTTATTTAAGAGTAATTTGTCTTTTTGTTTTAAGGAAATGTAATATTTGAGCAATTGAAACATTAAAATCTTATGTTTTACTCGGGGCACAATGATTTATTTGTGAGGGCTATCATAATTCAATTGCATATGGCATTAATAA